ATGTTTTATAGTGTCTCGTAGGTCATATTTGGCCGGATGTTATATTTTACTGTTTTGTATATATCTTATTACGAAGTGTATATAACATGTGACACTTTAATAAACAATATTCTCTCTCTCTCTCTGTGTATATATTGGGCGGCTCCTTTGATATCTCCTCCAAACATACGTTTATTTAATGACCCCATTAAACGATGATACACATCTCGATCACTATATCAAGGCACTAATTCATCTTTCATAAACATTTTTTTGTCTTTGTGCTTAATATATCCACATATCAACGAACATTTGTAAAACATGTATCCTAAAAAAAATAAACATTTTCAGGCCAGGTATTTGCCCACAGCAACACCTACATAACTGTTTATTCACGCGTGGTGTGGTAGATCGTAATTGACCGAGAGCAGGTATTGTAGAATCACCTGTAAATAAGGCCGACACTGTATTTAGATACAACGTACTAATGAGAATTATCATAAGAAGGCTGTTGTTTTTTTCTGAACTGTTACCATTTTCATACCAAAAGTGACAATGCAGTTAAAAGTTGCTTTAGTGTCACAATATTCACTCACGTTTTCCTCAATATCCATTGAAACATAATTCCCACTGGTCAGTTCGAAACCGCATGTAATTAAATAATTATTTCGAGATTTCGTTAGAATGTAAGATATTCAGCCAAACGTTATGCAATAAAAGACGAATAGTTTTCTTCATTAAAATACGCGCACGCGTACCTGTATATTGCATACCTAGTGTCAAGTAATTGCCCAGTGTGATGTATCAACGGGACATAAAATGGGAAATGAAATAGAAACTAACTAAAATTTAATGTTGTGGAAAATAACTCCAATGAATTGGAGTACACGCACATGAATTCGTATGATTAACTGTCAAAACGTTTTGAGAGGTAAGGCCGGGTTCATTAAAGATCGCTACAATATGTAAAACAGGTGAAATTTGTAGAACTAAAGGAAACATCCAACCAAATGCCCTTTTTAAATAGTGAGGTGAGGTGAGGTGAAATTGGGTTTAACGTCGCGTCCAAGATTATTGCACTTATATAGCGACGTGCATGCACGTGTATGTGTGTGTGTGGCTGCTTGTACTAGTCCGGACTGATGCCGATTTATAGTGCTAGCTCACTGAGATACCATGCCGCAGTTTAACATGAATACCCCACTCAGACACAGTATACTGACTCCGAGCCGACCAGTCCTTGTTTTAGCCCCTTAATGCCGAGCGCCAGACAGGGTAACAACAAGTACAATCTTTTAACGTCTTTTTGTATGACGCGGCCCGGGATCGAACCCTGGACCTTCCGCTCTCCGGGCGGACGCTCTACCACAAGAACACGGAGGCGGTTTTTTTTTAAATAGTAATGTAATGATATAATATAAAGTATGTTTAACATGATACAATATACTTTGCAAACAGTTAGTTGATCCTTGAAAGGGACTGACGAAAACATGGGCGAAATATTTTAATTACGCCTTAAAATAGTTGAATTAAAGAAAAAAATTGTTAAAGTTTGTGTCATGATACTTGAATAAATACATTTAATGTATTTGCGAAACAAAAACATGAGTTTTGAGTAAAGGAACATGTTCTCGCCCATGGGCGAAATATTTCAATATCGCTATAAAATCGTTGAATTAAGTTAAAATGAGTTTAATTTTGTGTCATGATACTTCAATGAATACATTTAATGTATTTGCGAAACAAAATCATGAGTTTTAAGTAAAGGAACATATTCTCGCCCATGGGCCAAACCTTTTTCTCGCCGATTGGCGAAATATTTCAATATCGCTATAAAATCGTTGAATTAAGTTAAATGAGTTAAATTTTGTGTCATGATACTTGAATAAATACATTAAATGTATTTGCGAAACAAAAACATGAGTTTTAAGTAAAGGAACATATTCTCGCCCATGGGCCAACCCATGGGCCTACCCATGGGCCAAACCTTTTTCTCGCCCATGGGCGAAATATTTCAATATCGCTATAAAATAGTTGAATTAAGTAAAAATGAGTTAAATTTTGTGTCATGATACTTCAATAAATACATTTAATGTATTTGCGAAACAAAAACATGAGTTTTGAGTAAAGGAACATATTCTCGCCCATGGGCCAAACCTTTTTCTCGCCCATAGGCGAAATATTTCAATATCGCTATAAAATAGTTGAATTAAGTAAAAATGAGTTAAATTTTGTGTCATGATACTTGAATAAATACATTTAATGTATTTGTGAAACAAAAACATGAGTTTTGAGTAAAGGAACATATTCTCGCCCATGGGCCTACCCATGGGCCAAACCTTTTTCTCGTCCATGGGCGAAATATTTCAATATCGCTATAAAATAGTTGAATTAAGTTAAAATGAGTTAAATTTTGTGTCATGATACTTCAATAAATACATTTAATGTATTTGCGAAACAAAAACCTGAGTTTTAAGTACAGGAACATATTCTCGCCCATGGGCCATACCTTTTTCTCGCCCATGGGCGAAATATTTCAATATCGCTATAAAATCGTTGAATTAAGTTAAAATGAGTTAAATTTTGTGTCATGATACTTAAATGAATACATTAAATGTATTTGCGAAACAAAAACATGAGTTTTAAGTAAAGGAACATATTCTCGCCCATGGGCCACACTTCGCCCATGGGCAGGCCCATGGGCGACATAGTCTAAATATTGAGTTTTTAAACAATTTTTTTTCATTTTTCTTCCTTGGTATGTTCCCATGAAAACGGCATGTTTAATTTTGTAAATACCTTTAACCGAAACTGGGCAAAGAGCGTAGAGTTTCTGGACTTTTGGGTTTCCAGAATTAAAATGGGTCGTGTTAAATCAATAGCGTGTGTGTCCACCTCTGGTTGCGATGCAAGCAACACATTTTCGTCTCATGGAATGGACCAGGCGTCGCCCAAAGTCCTGTTGGATATCTGTCAATATCTGCTTGAGCATGTTTCGAAGCTCCTGGAGTGTCTGTGGAACACGTGTTTGACGTCGAAGGCGCCGATCCATCTCATCCCACATGTGCTCGATTGGTGAGAGATCAGGTGAGCGAGCCGGCCAGGGGATGACATTCACGTTGTTTTGTTGAAGAGATTCCTGAACAAGTCGAGCAATATGAGGCCGGGCGTTGTCATGTTGAAAGGTAATGCCTGGGGCACGACGACTCAAACCGGGCCGATGATCTCGTCGCGGTAGCGCTCTCCATTGAGATTTCCCCCTACCACTATCAAACGGGTCCTCTGTCTTGCTGTAATCCCACCCCATAGCATAACGCTGCTGCCCCCGAACGTATCTTCTTCCATGACACAATGATTGACGTAACGTTCACCTCGACGTCGGTACACTCGCATCCGTCCATCGCTGTGGCTGAGGTGAAAACGAAACTCGTCAGTGAATAGAACTTGTCCCCACTGCATGGCCGTCCAGCGTAGACGCTGTCTGCACCACTGTAGACGTGCTTGACGGTGGTTTCCTGTCAAAATGGGACATCTGGCGGGTCTTCTGTCGACAATCCCTGCTCATCTGAGGCGGCGACGTACGGTTTGTGAAGATATTCGTCGAAGGCCAGGGATGCGTCTTGCAGTCACTGTTGCTGGCTGAAATCGATTTTGTAGGTGTGTTGTTCGAATCCAGTTGTCTTGTTGATTATTGGTTACGCGTGGCCTGTCACTCCGAGGATGGTCTCTGACTGCATTCGTCTGTTGCCAACGTTGCCATAAATACCAAATGGTGTTTCTGTGGACGTTAAGTGTCTTGCAACATCACGTTGACTCCATCCTGCTTCAGGCATACCAATGGCTCGCAGACGCTCATTTTCGGATAGGCGTGGCATTTCGTAATGTTGAATAATTGCGTAATTTTGTTGTTTTTTTCTGAGTGGTTGTTGTCAGCACGATGCTAATCAATGCATATGGAATCCCGTTAACGCACATGTTGTTAAAGCCATTCTTGGATAAGGAAATGCATGGGGCTTGCATAAAAGTCAACTTTTGCATGGAATGCATGCTTTTCTGTAGCAGTTGCGTTTTTGTGACTTGATTCCATACATGTACTACAATACTGAAAACCAAACTTTACTTGTTTGAAAAATACACTAAAATATTGGTGTCACAGGAACTTTTGTTGTTGAGTATACATATCTGACTAGAATTGTCGACATAGGACCATCCCTTAATGAAATATGCACGTCTTTGGCCGTGTGGCAATATCATGTATCTGTGCATATGGATTTGGGAGAAAAGGTTAGTTAACAAGTGTTCAAAACTATATTTGTTTCGATGCATTTTTTTAACCTTGTTTATATGACTGTACATTGTAATGTAAATCAATTTATCAGTTTAAATAGAACGTTATATTTGTAAATACATCCATATTCCTGTTACACATTCTCTTTGGGCTTTAAATAGACTCGATGAACACTACACGTGATGGTTCGTGACAAAACCATTGTATCATTTCCGCATGCAGTGTCGTGGTTTGCTTAGTCACAGTGTCAAATGTGTCTAAGTCGTAAAAAATAAATTTGAAAAAAGGATCATTGTTGTAAGAGTTAGCGTAAGAATAAGCCTTTTAAAGACCTGCTTTAAAGATTTCTTAATGAAGTAAATAAATGTTTATTAGGTTAAATTTATCACAATTATGTCAGTTACTGTAAATACGGATTCTAGATGTGATGTTGATACTACCAGCAGAAAACACACTAGAGAGCATGGTTGCACCCATTTAATAACTGAAATTATGATCACTCTGGCTCGTTGGTTCCAGGATAATGTGATCGACAAACCCCTTAAATGCTTACATGCATTTGTTTTGGAGACACCTTACTTTATCCACTTTCTGTGGGGACGTGTAAGGGTAGGCCTCGGCATCCTCTGTTTGTTTAAACTTTAACTTCCCTGTTTAGATGGCGAGGCTCTACAACAAGGTTGACGGTAAATGTTGATCGTACAAAAATTACAAAAAGACATAAATTACATACCTCCATCTGGTATATCTCAGTGTATCAATGCAGGGATGGTATTTGGTTGAACGTTTCATCTGAACAGACGGAAATTGTATATTGCTATGAATAACACCGGAAGATGACTCAATCTTACTTCCCCGTCAACGACTACATGTATGTTAATAAGAGCAACTGGCGCATCATCAAATTCAGGACAAATTATGTTGATGAGTTTTAATGATCAATCAAATTACAGGCAGTCTGTATCCCATTTCTGATGTCCCACGGTGATATAGCTGGTCTAGAGGGGCGTAACATCATACTCACTCACTTCGCCAATGAATACACTCCCTCGCCCTCCCCTACATTTCTCTGCGCTCTCCAGAGAGCATCACCAGGAACACGCAATGCAACACTTCCATCCCCAGAAAACACTGTCGAACCCTCCTCATTTACATCATCTGCAGGGTGATAGTGTTCAAGAAACGGACTTGGGGTCTTCCAATTTCTCTTTAATACACAATTTACGATGCTTATAATGATGATGATGACGATGCTGACGACAATTCCCAGGACGAGTGGAAGGGCAGGTAGTTTTCCTCCTGTAAGTCAAATGTAAATAACTGTTAAAGGCATGTTACAAGGTGCGATCTGTGAGTGAGTGAGTGAGTGAGTGAGTGAGTGAGTGAGTGAGTGAGTGAGTTAGTGAGTTAGTTAGTTAGTTAGTTAGTTAGTTAGTTAGTTAGTTAGTTTGGTTTTACGCCGCTTTTAGCAATATTCCAGCAATATCACGGCGGGGGACACCAGCAATGGGCTTCACACATTGTACCCATGTCGGGATTCGAACCCGGGTCTTCGGCGTGACGAGCGAACGCTTTAACCACTAGGCTACCCGACCACCCCACGATCTGTGAAGTAATGGTTAATTATTTGGAGAGTTTGTATTCGTGCTCATTAATAGTTGTAGGCCGCCTTTGGAATAGAACTTGGATTATCTTCTTAGCAACACGACCCGTGAAGATCCGAGAGAGAAAAGGTCTTCAGCAACCCATGCTTGTCGTAACTGTCGACTAAATCCAAATTTCATAGATCGATGCTCATGATGTCAATCACTGGATTGTCTGGTCCAAACTCGATTAGTTACATACTGCCGTCATTTAGCTGGAATATTGCTGAGTGCGGCGTTAAACAACAAAGGAAAAAACAATCATTATGTCATAGGAACACAATATTCTCATAACTGGCTACTGCATTCATTGAAGTGTCGTTACGTGAATGACATGGAAACATCAATTCTGCATACGATTAAATAAAGTCCATGTAAAACACAGGAGAAAAGGCTAGTAATTATTTCTCATGAAATAGAATGTCCAATATCAGTCTAATTTGATTACTCACTGTTAAAGCTTTCAACACATCCACATGTAAGATTTATCTCTTCATTGTGGCAACCAAATATCAGTCTGACTTCACCAAAGTGGGATTCCATGATGTTCAGTTTTGTGTCAACACTTACATTCTTTATACCATACACATGTGTACTTATGTTCAGTGCTTCTCTGATTCCTCCTGTCTGGAGAATGAAGTTGCTTTCTGAAGAACAGTAAAAACCAACAATAGCCACTGTAAGGGATATATCCTCATTCAGGCCAAGTGCTTTGGTATCTCTGTCACTGGTTATGGTGCAAGATGGAGTCTCTACAAACAAAACAACTAATATCAGCTGAAACATTATATTGAAACGATTTCACACCGGGAGAAATCCAAGTCACTATGTCATCATATACTTAGCAGAGAGGTATTTTGTTATATTAGCAAAATATCGCAAAACATTTGAATTTAAAATAATACATACTAATTCATCATGTCACCATATATACACCGTAACAGAGAGGCGCATACGGCACGTTGCAGCCATTGACTCGTTTTGGGGTGAGAGAGTATGGTTTTACGCCGTGTTTTGAAATAGTCCAGCACTATCACGGCGGGGCACACCAGAAATGAACTTCAACAATTGTACCCATGTGGGGAATCGAACCCGAGTCTTCGGTGTGACGAGCGAACGCTTTAGCCACTAGACTACCCCACTGCCAATGGCCGTGATTAAGGGTCAGTGATAAAACAGCTTATGGTCAGAAACAAATTCAATGATCGTTGGGGACGTTTGTTTCAAGATGTACATTTTTCCCACCATCACAAATACACAACTACACACAATTATGCCGGATAATGATTTTTTTTTAAATTCGAGGTTTCAAATTAAACTTACGTTTGACAAAAACAAAGCAACAGTCTGCGGCGTCACCTTCGCCTTCTTTACATGTCCAGTTACCTCCATGGGCTGGTTTGACACTCTTTACCTCTATTTGCGTGTGAGTATCGTTGAGTACTGATGTATTGTAACCCTGACTTGTGGCACAAAATGAAGAGCCTGTCTTCATATCACACTGTACTGTAATTCCATTGGGGTCAGTATACACAAGGGTGACATTGACATTAGATATGGAGCAGAAGAGTCCAGCTGAAGTTCCAACCTCAATTATTCCAGGAGGACATGCCAGCTCAGGAACACCTAAATAAAACAACAACGGACCTAAAGCAAACATATTCGTGTCTTCCTGACGAACATTCGTCTCATTCAGTGGGTTACATGCTATAACTGGAACATACAATTTTGAAAATTATCCATTTTTCGAAACGAAATTGCTCGGTGGACATGTTGCATGTCCTAAAGATTAGTAGAGAACACATGGTGCTCAGTTCATCTTTTCATGGCAATATAAATTTAAAACGTCAACGCCAGAGAGATACCAATCTCCAGTATCAGCCGCAACAGATTCCATTTCCGTGAAAGGCAAAATAGCGGTGACAGTGATATGAATGGGTCACTGAAAATATGTGTATTTTGATGAAGTAACCGAAATATACCCTGTCTCCAACTAAAATCCCAACCCTCGAGACTATTAAATGTTGAAACGTTATGGTACACAATATGTCATGCAAGTTACCTACCTTGTGCACGGAAAATAATGCAGATTAACAAAGACAACACTGCCTTGTTGAAGATGCACCCTCTGTCTCTCAACCCCTGCATCTGGTAACATTAAAACGTATTGACATAACTACTATATACATGGCAACCCCTCAGAATATACAATATATTATACAGGTTACCTACAGTGTGCATGGAAAGTAATGCAGATAAACAAAGACGACACTGCCTTGATGATGATGCGATCCTCTGTCTCCCAACACTGGCATATAGAAACATGTACACTAGCTAATATACTGGTGACGCTGTTGGAGCGCTGTATTGGTAAGCTATGGAACGGCAGAGCTATGTTTGCCCTGAAACTTGATTTCCCCATTCACTAAAAACATACTAAATTTTGTTCCGGATATTGATATGCCCATTCGCAATGATAACGTAAGGGAATGTCAGTGCAGTCAGTCATATTCATCTCCCAAAGCTTGCTTCGATGATCAAATGCGTGCTTGATATTTACTTTATATAAACCAATGTTGTCGACCGTTAAATTGAGATTAAGAGGCATTTTACAATACTCACATTTAAGCATATATTCCCAACAGAGACACTGTGTGTAACCCCGCGTGTTTAAATCATGTGATTGAAACCACCCACAAGGTACAGTGATTCATGATGGGAACTTGAAAATCAAAAACGTCACACGTAATCTGTATTTCACAATACCGTAGTTTCTATCAAATACGGCCACTATCTTTAAGAAGTCATTCACTTTTATTCATAAGTTGCTTTATTATTGATTTATATTGCTCAGTTATTTAAGAAATAAACGACGAGTGGGAGTTGTTAATCGTACAATAAATCAATGTCTGGTCGGCTCGGAGTCAGTATACGTGTCTGAGTAAGGTATCCATGTTAAACTGCGGCATGGTTTCTCAGTGAGCTAGCACTACAAATCGGCATTAGTCTGGATTAGTACAAGCACACACACACATACACACACACACACACACACACACACACACACACACACACACACACACACACAATATGTGATAATATAAGTGTGATATAAGTGCAATAATCTTGACCGCGACGTTAAACCCAATTTCGTCTCAACCCACTCATTTTCAGTGATACATCCATATACTAGTAATTTGCACCGCTATTTTGCCTTTTACGTCCATTGACATCTGTTTCGGCAGATAATCGAGACTGGATATTATCGGACGTTGGCGTTTTATGCTTGCAACATGAACTAGAATATTTTTCTTTTGAATGGCACTTTGTAGAGTATCTCATCTTGAGAAGACAAGCAAGTAGTTGATTGAAAAGTGAACAGCCACGGAGGCGATGACCTACGGTCAGCCACACCACGGATGGGTACTGGCCATGGAAACCTATTTTGCGCTGGAAATTACACATAGCTTTAAATGTTTTGCACAATCACTATATACTCTCCAAAAATGGAAACGCACAGGTGAAAAATAGATGTCGAATTTAGTTCATAGATTGAAACGAAGAAATAATTGGTTTCCACCGCATATCACACGGAAGGTAAGTTCATAATCGTAACCAATCACCAAAACACACCACCTGATGAACATTATACCTAAACACGTCATGTTTTCCAAATGCATGAAAATTTCACGTGGAAAAGGATCACAATATATGCGTGATGCATGTGAAAATTGTGGAAGTTGTGCTCCAAAAATGAGGGATACAAAGGGATGACACCAGGGTACATAGCCTTTTTGTGTTTTTTCCAAGACATTCGATATGTCAAGATTGCGTGCAGAAGACCGGAATATCGCCATTGGACGTCGAGAGGCCGGAGAACCACAATCATCCGTTGCACGTCATTTTAATGTTTTCACCACAGCACCGTTTCACGCCTCTGGAGGCGTCACCATCCTTGGATCCACCCGCAACCGTCCTCGAGCTGGCAGGCCAAAGATCACAACTGAGGCGCAGGATCGTTACATCCGGGGATTCCCATCTTCGCAACAGGTCAGTCCCAGCAATTGAAACCGCAGGAAATGTCCCAGGTCTACGGAGAGTGTCTGCACAGACAATACAAAATGGCCCGCGAGAAAGTGGACTTCGGGCAAGAAGACCTTTTGTTGGACCTCGGCTTGCAACATCATCATCGCCTGTCACGTGTTCGCTGGTGCAGAAACGTCCAAATATGGAATTGGAGAAACTGGAAAAGAATTTGGTTCAGCGATGAATCATGTTTCCTGTTGCAACCTCGTGACGGTAGAATCCGAGTCTACAGACGTCGAAATAAGCGCTACGCCCGTATCGGTGTTGTTGAGGTGGACAAATTTGGAGGGGGGAGTGTAATGGTGTAGGCGGCCATTTCCTGCAACCGCAGAACCGACCTAGTGCCGGTGCAAGGGAATCCGCCGTTCGTTACAGAGGTGAAATCCTCAGAGACAGACAGATTTTTCAACAGAAGAACGCCAGGCCCCACACAGCACGCAACAAAAAAGATAAGAAGTGTTAAAAGTAACCCATTCTTCCTTGTTTGTTGTTTGACGCCGCACTAGGCAATATTCCAGCTACATTATGGTGGTATGTTAATATTCCAGTCTGGAACACACGATCTAGTGATTGACATCATGAGCAGTTGGCATTACGATAGCATGCATCGAGCAATTCATCGGAACCAGTTAGTCTCCTCTCAGGACAAGCACGGGGTGCTGAAGATCAATTCCAACCCGGACTTTCTTACATGTTGGCCGTGTATCAGTCTTGACACATGTAATATGCATATTCGGAAAGGTTTTTTTACACAAGGTATGAATTATTTGTGTACGTGAAATGACATGAGGCATAGTTAGCTTTACCACCCGATTCCGTTAGTCGCCTCTTACGACAAGCATATTCGCCTCTTAAAGGCAAGAACGGGGTACTGAAGGCTTATGCTCTACCCGGATCTTCACTGTTTGGGTATTGTTTAGTTGATGACTGATGTTTAACTCCGCAGTCAGCACTATCCTAGCTACGTCTTGGTTTGTGGTTGGACTAATAATCGAGTCTGGGGTGATTGAAATTCCCATTTGATAATTATTGTTGAGTGCGCAGGAGCTTTGTTGGCCCATCACCAACCAAACTGATTAACAAGAAGCAAACACGTTACACTACATTCTACCATCACATTGAAGAATGCTTGATTCTGATTGGTTAAAAAGAGGTTTTCATTTTGCTACGGGAACCTCTTTAAGTGTATTAGGCTTTTCACACACAAACACACCTGCGTATGAATACGTCGATAGCCTACATATCGATCCACAAAAAATGACAGCCGATCATCGCTAAGAACTGTATACCGTATCGATATTTTCACTATTAGACCTGGGTCTCAAATACAAGCTATGTCTCTCATACACGCCGGGTCAACGGCTCTCGAGAAATTAATAGACGTCCGAGTGTCTTATACTGGAAATACGGTAAGCTAGAATGATATGGGATGTTTTGGCAGGCTTATCCATACATTTGAAACCTCGCGCTAAAGCGCTCTGTTCCAAATTTAAATACGAGGTATCTACACTACAGTGGGACTACATCAAATTTAGCAGGCTTATCTCCTAATTGATTGATTATTCTACAATTTTAACATGATATTTCTGGATTAATACTGAACTCACTCAAACATCCGCGTTTCTCCTCAAAATAGATGTTTCACTTCTTCCTTCCCGTTATATGATATTTCCTCTGTTTTCAGGTGAAACTTTCAAACAGTTGCTGTAGATGTGTACATAGTCCTGAAAACTTAAGTCACTTCACCTAAAATATAACCTGATCTGTAATGGTGTGTTTTGCTGATGTGTAACGCTGATTTTGAGTGAGTGAGTATGGTTCTACGCCGCTTTTAGCAATATCACGGAGGGGGACACCGGAGAATGGGCTTTACACATTGTACCCATGTGGTGAATCTAACCCGGGTCTTCGGCGTGACGAGCCAACGCTTTAACCACTTGGCTACCCTACGCACCCAGCGCTGACTTTGACGGTACGAGTCAGTAGAGACAGTTCCAATGAGAACTTATATGCTCGGATTTGTTTGTTGTCATGGAGCCTTTACCACGAAGAATATTCTTTTCACACTAAGACCATATTTATCTGCAAATATAAAATGAGTATTCCTCTCGACACACAACTACTTTCTTTCTGTCACGATGAGACTGTGGTTTCTGGAGTCGGACAGATAGCAAGGATAAACTTCTATGATGCTTGTATGATGTTAAGTTTAATTTGTCATGTGATTTACATAGTCCATTTCATTTATGCAGTGTCACAAAGACTATTATATCCTTACAGTAAGATATAGTGGTTGCTATGAAAAGGGGGCAGTCGGGTAGCCTAGTGGTTAAAGCGTTCGTTCGTCACGCCGAAGACCCGGGTTCGATTCCCGACATGGGTACAATGTGTAAAGCCCATTTCTGGTGTCCCCCGCCGTGATATTGCTGGAATATCGTGGCAGTTGCTAGCTAAATCATCATAAAAAATGGTTATTCAGTTTGTTTAGTGTGAGTTTTTTCCTCACTGGTTGTGTAGCAGCAATATTAAGACAACAGGATAATGGAAATGGTTCGAAAAATGATGATAAATGACTCTAAAATCACAAATGTGTTGAAACATGGTACTCGATGCAAGAATATATTCCACTTCACGACACCTATTGTGTGTGAAGCAAGTTTTATCCCTGTGTTTATCTGCAAAATCACCATAAGTACTATAAGTCCTAGTTCCTAGTTCCTGGTGTGGTGATCACCATTTAGTGACTGACGATCTCTTGCCCATTTTTATATTGTGTTGTTCACTTATACTTCCTGCTATTTAATATTCTCAACTAGTTTTAAATCAAATCTGTGATATTTTAGTTATTGTACTGTCCATCGTTGACAGCTTCTTATTAAATCTAAATATATGTATTATAATTGTACTTCTCGTCTAGATATGGCTGAAATTCTGCCGATGTGACGTTAAACTCACTCACTCATTTACATCTTTAATCTATCTTGTAGATTCAAATGAATAATCATGAATATTTTCCTGTATAAGATCAATTGGGGATACAATCAACGAATCTTTAATTCTTGCATTCAGGTTTCCTGCGAGGAAATGTAACAGTTTGGCTGATCAGTTTTAATGATATGAAGCTAGCTTTCAACTCATGATAACGTCCAGACACATATCCTTCTGATATCTACTTCAATTAAATACGAATGATCACATCACTTCTGTTGCGGCCGAAGTGGTTTGTTTTCTTTATCACACAATTTTCAGTTTGATGCCCTTCTAAGAATTTATAAAACTCATTCCGGGTTTTTACAAAAGATTCACAATAGGCAGTAATGTCACAGTTCTTACATATGTACTTCAGAGGGGCACGGGGGGCCCAGTCGTCTAAGGCGCCGCGATTCGCTGTGCAGAGTTGCGTCCCTTGGATACGCCAGAAACTTATGATTGTGGGTTCGAATCCCGGTTCGCCCCGATTATGTTTCTAGGTTTGTCAGCACCATACCCGTGCTTGTGGGTTTCACCAAAGTGGTAAACGTCTGAGACCTGCATCACTTCGGGCTTTCCTCCCACATTAAGCTGACACGCCGTGATATAACTGGAATACTTTTAAAAGTGGCGTTAAATCCAACTCACT